ATAGGGAGAAAAGGGAAGAATTGACAGGATGAGTAATATTGAGAGTGGTATGTAAAGAAGTATGTTTGGAAAGGAGTGGGAGAATGTTAATTTCCTTGTAAGGGCCTGTTGTACTGGTCTAATGGAAGTGCAGTTTTCTCTTTTCATCATGTAGTTTCTATTTTCTTCAGAAATCTGTAAACATTTAAATTTCTGAAATTATTGCTGTCTAAAATTTTACAAGTTAACAGCCTTTTTGTTACTGTTTATGGGCTGCTTATATATATACACATTGTAGCACTTCTCAGTGACTAGATAGGGTTGTAGCTTGGGGTTTTGTCCATTTTAGCAGCATCTTCTAACAGTTATATAAGCAGTGATATATATACTCTTACACTTTATGAATATTTCTTTCATTCCTGATAAATGCATGCTCAGCATCTTTTTATAACTTTCTATGTCGGGGACAGTTTTATAAACTAATAATATTTGGTCCTATATCTACCTTCTTCTGTGATCGCCCTTATATCTGATGAAAAAGCTGAACTAAATAACCTCAAACTACGATTAAAATTTGTGTCGAATAAAATCTTTTCATTCAATTTTCTTCCTATTTATCGAAGTAACCTTGAAAGAACATTGAACAAATTTTGCAATACAAGGTGATGCAGAGATTAAGGCGAAGTGAACGTATTAACTACTGCACAATGTTTTAATGTCTTGTTATGGATTCTGATAGTAAAAAAAAACACCAGCAAATAAAATTAAAAAAGGGGTAACCGTTATCTTTTTTGAGATACAAGCTGTTGAAACTAAGAGCATGAGATGATACAGGTACAGTATTCGACAATCGATTGAATAGACAGTTTGCAAAAATTACTATAGATCTATTGTATAGTCAGTTCAAATCAATTGACTACTGCTGTATGGTCAATCAATTGTTGTCTGTTTATTACAATCATTTGTAGTCAATTCAGTGAATCTATGCAATCAACTTTTTATTTTTTAATTGTTTTCAATCGTTACGATTGATTAAGAGTTTATGAACTCAATCAACTCTGTCATTTGTATTTCAAGGGTCACGATCGTATCAATCGTATACAATCGTAAAGTTCGATTAATAGTTGATCAACTCAATCAAATATGTATCCTTTCCTTTTCATGGGTCACGAACGTATCAATTGTATTCAATCGTAACGATCAATTAAGAATTCATCAATTAAATTAACTCTATCATTCGTTTTTCAATGGTCACGATCGTATCAATCGTGTTCAATCGTTTCAATGGATTAAGAGTTGATCAACTCAATCAACTGTATCCTTTCCTTTTCAAGGGTCACGATCGTATCAATCGTATTCAATCGTAACGATCGATTAAAAGTTGACCAACTCAATCAACGGTATCATTTGTATTCAACGGTCATAATCGTATCGATCGTATTCAATCGTAACGATCAATTAACAGTTCATCAACTCAATCAACTCTATCATTTGTTTTTCAATGGTCATGATCGTATCAATCGTATTCAATCGTATCGATCGATTAATAGTTGATCAACTCAATCAACTGTATCCTTTTTTTTCAAGCGTCACGATCGTATCGATCGTATACAATCATTACGATCGATTAAAAGTTGATCAACTCAATCAACTCTATCTTTTGTATTTCAAGGGTCACAATCGTATCGAACGTGTTCAATTGTTGCGATCAAATAAGAGTTGTTCAACTCAACTGTATCAGTTGTATTTCAAGGGTAACGATTGAAAACGATCGATACGATCGTGACCCTATCATTTATTTTACATTAATGAATAAACAACTTTACTGGTATCTTTTTTGATGTAATTTAAGTCCTTAAAAACTAAATTTAGCTGTTAACCAGGGAAAGATAAATATATTCTAAAACTACAATAAAAGCGTAATTCTCATAAATGTCTTTGCTTTTGACAAATAGACTTCATACACATAGTACTTTGTAGGACCTCTGCAATTAAAATATAAATAATTTTGTACGTACGGTTCACCAAAAATAAAAAAGCTACTTGATTTACTAAATTAAAACGTGACTGTAATATTAAAACTTATTTTGAAATCGTCAATCCTGTGTCAAGATGGCGCCAAATATTACTGTTAATTTTTACTTTACAGCATGACGTAAAGAAATTTGCTGTGTAATATCAACACGTTTCTCATTTTGTATATAGATAAGATTGGTTTAAATTGTTTCACACTGGTTCTTTTTGGACCTTTTATAGCTTGCTGTTCGGTGTGAGTCAAGGCTACGCGTTGAAGGCCGTCCTTGCAAAAAATACGTACTAATTATAATATTTGCAGGTAAAATTCTATGAAAACCGTTCTTAATATTTATTTCCACCTTTGTTGACGAAGACACAAGTCTTTATGGATTACACTTAACCCAAGTCTTCCATTGGCCACGATCATGTGGTAGTATGTTTTTATTATGTTGATTGAGTTGATATTTGGTAATCAATCGGGATCAATCGTATCGATCGTTACGATCGAGTGTTTGTATTTGGTATTGAGTTGATTGAGTTGATATTTGGTAATCAATTGTATCGATCGTAACTATCGCGTGTTCGTATTTTTTTATTAAGTTGATTGAGTTGATATTCGCTAATCAATCGTGATCAAATGTATCAATCGTAACGATCGAGTGTTTGTATTTTTTGTGAAGTTGATTGAGTTGGTATTTGTGAATCAATTGTGATCAATCGTATCGATCGTTACAATCAAGTGTTCATATTTCTTATTGAGTTGATTAAGATGATATTTTATAATCTATCGTATCTATTGTAACGATCTAGGGTTTGTACTTTTTAGTTAGTTAATAGAGTTGAAAACTGGTTATCAATCGTGATCAATCGTATCAATCGATGTTTTAAAGTCAATTGTTGTTGTATCAATCGATTGTCGAATACTGTACCTTAATGCATGAGATGCCAAAAATACATAGAATATATAGGAAAAATCTTGAAAATCGGCAGGTATTTTTATATTTTTAAGATATTCTATGTTTTTAGTCCAAATATATTTTTCAAAATGATACAAGATTTAAACATGTAAGACGAATCTATTGATATAAGATAAGTCTTTAGCAACCGTGTTAGTTTTCAAACTATATCCTGTTAAAGTTTAATCTTGAGATCTTTAGGGGGGGTATGAAAGAAAATAATTCGGCGACTTTATTGCTGTCTACAATTAATAATTATAATGGACGTCGCAACAACTTCTACGCTATTATACATTGTATATAAAGAATAAAGGACTTTTTATTTTGATACTGACTTTATCACGGTAAAAATATCAGGTGAGCCCTTTACTGTGATAAAGTCAGTATCAAAAACAAATCGTCCATTATTCTTTTTATCGGTAATTATGAAAAAAATTAAGATCAATACAATAATAGAGAAAAATAGCAATATCTCGTCGAATCACGGCGAATCACACTTGACGTCACAGGCTGCATTACGTCATTTGAAATTTTATCACAGTGCAGTGACATTTGATAGTTCAGAAATATCCTGCAAATATCAAATAAGGATATCTCATACGTCACTTTCAGGGAGCCAATCGGAGATGTAGATACTTATGCGTCGTGGTGAGGCTGCGATTAAGATGATCTAAGATAGCCACGGTGCTGCAGCGAAACGCCTGGATTCTTAAGCGGTACCAAGTAACAAGAATGAGAACAATAAGGTATTTTTTTTGGCAGAGGAAGCTTACAGTCATGATTTTTTATTTGAATACTCTAAACCTCACTTACGAAAGTTATTAGCATAGATTTTTATACTGTCACATACAGCAGTTACTTGCTACAGACCCCCAAAAAATGACAGAAATGAATTGAAAGAGCATAAGAAAAGACTAGGATTGCCTAGGAATAAAAAGATCGAGCGACAATAAATAGGTTTTGCCTTTTAATTAAAGAGGGTGTACCGCTCCCACAGCTGTTAATGACTTAATAACAGTCTTCACTATAATTATATTACCAAGAGATCATGATTTGCCTTCAAAAATTAATTACTGTACCAGTCGGGATTTTAACCTGTGACCCCTTGCACAGTAAGTCACTGCTCTACCAACTCAACTAAACGAGTAATCCACAAGCACATGGTTAAGTATCTACTAGGTAAGGGGAAGCACGGCTACACTCCCCCACCTCAAGAGTCCTTATGACATACCGACAATATCAACATCACTTACCCTGGCTGTTTGTTTTACTTCTAACCACCCTTGATTTTTTCGTTGGGTACTAATTGTAACCAGACAGCATGATTTGCTTGATAAAATAAATCACTAATTCAGCCAGGATATGAACCGAGGATCCCTAGCATAATAAGCCACTGCTTTACAAACTGAGTTAAATCTAATGGATGGCAGTTATATGTATCTACTATGTAAGAGGATTTATCGCTACACCTTAAAACGTTTGTAAGATCCAAAATGATTACCATGGAAGATGTGTCTGTTATAAACAAATGATGGCCTTTTTCCAGGAAAATTTTACTGGCCTGTGGCTTGGGGTTGTGAATAACCATGAAGATTGCTATAACATTTCTCAAATTTCAAAAACAGTTTATAACCTTGAAAGTACCACTGGTGATAGTAAAAATGTGTCAAATTCTGTACAATTTTTTTAAAATTTTTAAAATCATTGATAACATTTGCAACTAACACTAGGTTTACAAAACTTGTATTAAATATAAGTTAGACCATGCAATTTTAGGAAAACTCGTTCAAGTTTGGAAGTCCACTTGCACCACATTTGAAGGCAACATAGACAAGCAGTGGTGAAACAATTCACAGAAGAATCGATGAACCTCAAAATATTTGCTTTTTTTCGATTTGTTTGATCCGTATATGAATATTGCAAGTGCTAAATTTTTTTATCGGTCACTAAAAACTCGTGTTATAAATTGTTTCAAATTAAACGTCTCTATTAAAATGGCTGGCAGGTAGAATAAATAAGTATTTAAAATCTTTATTAATTTTAGCTGCATTAATGGAACAACAGGTTTAATAAACACAAAAACAACTCAGAAGAAAGGTTGTTTGCTATTTTACTACATAAGTGCATTAATTCAAGGTTGGATATTGATTATGTATTGTATTGAAATGTATCATATTATTGCCCTTGTATAGGTGTATTTTTACAGCCCTAGATATGAAAAGACTACTTAAACCACTTATTACATATAGGAAGCGATCTAGCTAATGAAAAGACAATTATTAGTCTTTTTTTCTTTTTTTCATTACAGGTAAAGATACTTGCTATCTTAAACTTTAATTAATGGTTTATATCAAACCATGGTTTTTATGAAGCTTCTGTTTTTTCTTCTGGTAAACAATGAATTAAAAGTAGAGTCATTCGCTATATTAAACTTTTCATTTTTAGAGGAAAGTGGAAAAAAGTGCTAGGGCCTGGGGTATAAGAATTGATGGATCTGAAATCATTATTTTCAACAACTTTAAAGGGGCATTAGCTTCGAGATATAAAAATATTAAAATATGCCATTTTTGTTTGGTTTGGTGAAATAGTGAACTAAAAATTCGCCTTAAGCAGCCAATTTGGTTCAATTTTGTCAAAATAAGCTAAGAACATCGCTGATGAATTATTCACTTGCAAATGAATAAATCGACCTTATTGAATCCGCATCCATGTGACCTTTAATTTAACCCCTTAGCTGGACATGGGCTACACATGTATTCAGCTATTAAAAGGACAAGAATGTCAATATTGAAAGTGAAACAAGGATTAAACCATTTGGTTGACTGATTTGATCCACAAAAAAATCACTCTTATATAGGTAAAAACGATGATAAACATACTTTTTAACCTACAATATGAAATCAAACAGACCTAGAAAAATCCAATTGCAGGTTGTCGCTATCTATTTATGCTTATATTTATGTTTATATCGGGTTATATGACCGTCGGCCGTCTTTGGAGGTTATCTACATGGTTAATTAGATGACGTCTAGACAAAAATACACACGAGTCCATGCATTTTTGATTGTTTAATTTAGACTTTTTTTAATTTGGATATACGTTTTAGTATGTTATAAATCAAATATGAGAATTTGAGTCAAATCGGTGAACATGAATTTGACAGCTAATGCCCCTTTAAAGTTCACGCGTGGTGGCATGTCAACTCCGAAGTACTGACCTGCTAGACCAGTGATATAATCATAAACTAACAGAATGGAATACCTAGAAATGTATTGGTCCAATTGTAATAACTGTACTAATGTGGTAGCATTTGATACATCCGATACACATTCCGCTAAGTAAATATGACAATGTTATTTGTATTTTATGACAGTTCTAATAGTAAAGAGTCAATGTGTGCATAAAAGATGGCTGATCATTACTGCACAGAAGTTATAATTGCTTCACATGTAAACGTCCATTTGGTTTTGGCATACGACCCTCTTTGCATTTTGCAATTTGCAGTGCATAAACGTTGTTATTATGCATGAAAAATGAAATTCAATTAATAACTAGTGTAATCTGTTTAGCATTTAAGTATTTCACGTATTTTTAGTACATCTACATGAAAAAAAAGAGAAATTGCAGCTTGAAATGCTTGAATGCGAATGCAGCTGCAAAATCAATGCATGGATCGGAATTTATTTCAAGTCAATTCCGCAGTAAATGAAGAAAAACAAGATTTCTGTACTTAGTTTACCTAAACACAATTTAATATTTCAGTCTTCACTATCTACATCATTTCGGCACAGACACAGTTTGCCCAAGCAATTACTGCATCTGTTGTTTCTTCACAAGTTGCAATAATTTGATCTTCGGGTAAAAGATGTCCAAATGTCCCTTTGTCTCGCAACAAAACTTCGTACGGAAACTTAATTCCTGCTGCTTTTGCATAATCTGACGAAAGGCCACCTAAGGTAGATCTTTGTGAAGTCTGCCTCGAACTATACACAACTCCATTCCGAGCTGTCGCTGCTGATGCTGCTGCTTTAGCGCATTTATCGAGGGTGGGTTTATCAGGTACCGGATCTTTTGTAAATCCCCAAGGATATATCCACAGTTGGCCAAAACTTTGTATACTTAGATAACCAATAAAAGCCTTTTTCAACATAAGTTTTCTTTCTGCCTGACTTTCTAGTTCACTGAAAGGGAACGGACCAGAATAAAGCTCATTGCAAGGATTTCTGGAACCACCGTTTTCTGGATTCCACTGCATTCCATAATTTCTATTCAGGTCGGTGCCTATGCATGTTTCATTAAACGGGTTTCTGTTTTTTCTCCAAAGACGCACAACATTCTTTGCGTATACATAACCATCTGGATTTAACACAGGTATAAAGTACCAGTCAAACTTTTTGACAAGGTAAAACCCTGCTTGAGTGGTTTTTAGGAAATTAAGAAAGTACAAAACAAATGCATGTGAAATAAAATCTCTGGGATGTATTCCACCGTCAACTAGAATAGCCTTTTTAGATTTTCCATTACAGCTCCCACATCGTGTCTCCCGCTTAGTAAACATCTTCACCATGTAAATACTTCTCTCCTCGAAGGTTTTACCGATGGTCTCAACCTTAGACTTAACCTTGCCTTGGTTACAATTAAAAGTCGCCAGGTATTTTTCTATTTTATCCAATGCATTGTACTTGTTAAAATCAAAGGCAAAGCATATTTGCAGCAAGAATGCTACAAAAACTATTTGGTTCATCTTCCAAATTCTGGAATTATAAAAAAAGAAAACCTAAGTCCTTTTTATTTACTGATTAAAAATATTTAAAAAATGTATCAAAATAATAAGATGGTTATAGTTGCTATATTTAATTTACATCGCATAACACATATGTGTAGGTCTTAGATATTGAATAAAAATCGTCAGCTGCTTACTCATTACTGATAGTTTTTTTCCCAATCTGATTACCTCCCAGTTGATACGATATTCCAGGGCTTGCGTTAACATGATTATTTACAAGGATGTTATAGCAAGAAATTTTCCTAATGGTAAAGTTGAATTCATATCTTCGAAAGTTTGATACACAGATGTGATTTTACTTAATCGAATTATGACTATTGAACAGCGGTATACTACTGTTGCCTTTAATTATGGACGGCATGATGGGTCGGTTGACCGCTATGGAGTATCATTGTCACAAATGATCACGTATATATTCCACTGGTCGTATCCTCAATCACATTCTATTTCCTCGATTGTGACATTACTTCTATATTATCTGAGTTCATCCCTATTGCTCAATCTTTAGTTTTCTATGTAGTGTTTTGTGGAAGGTTCTTTGTCTTTTCGTAGATTTCCTTTTGACTATAATGTGGACAGTTTTCGTTAATTTATTGGTTTATATCCCCCCGTGGTATCCCCTGTCCGACAAATTTTGTAGATACAGAATGTCTTGAACAATTAATTCTATGCATACGGAAAAAAAATTAACCTAAAAATATCCATTTTGTGCACACGTCTTGATAACCTGTTGATTTGATTGGCCCATTTATATATTCTTACTTTTTTGCTACGTAGTATCAATTTAAAAAACAGACAAGATATAAATGGGTCATTCAAAACTCACAATTAGAGAGAATGGAAGATAACGAAAGACGAAAACAAAAAAAAACAAAAAAACAAAAAAAACAAAAAACAAAAAAACAAAAAATCGGTAATGAGTTTAAAGTTTAAAAAAAAGCAACATAGAAAACTTGACTGCACAACACAAACCTAATCAAAATGCCCCGGAAGGATAATCAGATCCTGCTTTAATAGTGGTACCCGTTGTGGTACTGTTAAGTACAAATTCGGTAATGAGTCTCAATAGGTGATGTCACAATCTAGGAAAAGACAAAGGGCTTGTGGTTACGACGGTTGGAATTATCCGTGTCATATGTGACACAGATATTCCACAATGGTCAACTAACTCGTGATGACGTCCGTTTATCTTTCGGAGGGATGACCTAAACTTTACCACGTACAGGAAACATTGCTTAAATAGCTACCCTGTAATCAACTATCTTTTATCAAGCAAATCATGATATGATACATTCAATGAACGTTGTTATTGTCTGCGAAATTTAGAAAAAAAGTGTAGACGGTGAATTTATTGATGTTAAACTTAGCTTGTCGATCAATGATGTTGTCATACGTAAATTATAAAATGTTTTCTTCACAAGGAAATCAATTAAAATTGCCTTCGCACGGTTCGAGTGTCAAAATATCATTTACAAGGTAAGAAAAGAATATTCCTGTGTACTGTAATATGTTCAGCTTAATACAAGTATAACAATAGGAACATGTAATGCCATTGCCAACGAGACAACTATCCATCAAGACCCAATTGACAAGGACACGTTAAACTCTTCGACTGTGTAGTCAGTGCGCATACTTTAATTCTTTTTGTTTGTTTTGTAAAATATGAATAATTTGTTATCTGTTATAAAAACTAAAGGCACCCGTAAGTTACTTGTTCCATGATTTGATTGTTTTCAATAAAGATATGCAACATTAACCTCATTGTATTTTGTACACACTATAATAGATATTTTGTGTTTGATTTCTTTATGATGAGTGTTATTGACAAATCATTCAAAATTGAATTTCAAAACTGCGCACTGGAAGCTTCATTCTGATATATTTTAAATTTTAAATTAGACACACTGGTAATATGTCTTCAATGTCTATCAATCATATGAATAAAAAAGTAGATACACTTTTCTTCTTTTGTGAAGTAATGGTGCATCGATGACCTGATTTTATGTCCATACAAACGAAGTATATCGGTTTGATTACATGCTATTTCTCAAAGCGTTTTTAAAATATGAACACCACAAAATGTAGGGTAAAACTAAACATAACTATAGATAAAGATATTAAATGAAAATAACAATTTATACGAAATATATGCGGTCTTCAACGATGGATCAGCATTAAAGCCGTATGACAAGCTCTCATTTCATTGGGGCGTAGAAAAGGGATTGTCACATTATCGAAGGATACAATAAAAACAGTTTTTAAAGCTTTTTTGTCCGGAACATTGTTCTTGCCGAAAAGAAAAAGTTGACTCGTAACATTTCTTGTACCCTCCATAGCTCAAGTTATTTGCCACTTTTATTTAAAATTTACCCGCGTTGTGATAGGAAAATACATTTTATAGAAGCAGTCAAACACTGACACTAACACTAACTTAATATTACTAGTATTGGAATAATATGAAAGACATCGTTCCTTATCCGTAAAGACTGGAAGAAAAGCATCCCTTAAATTAATACAGAAAACCCCATTTGACTCCTCCATCGCAGGCATTCGCGGTATTACACATAGTTAGCTTGTTGTACTACCTTATTTCAATAATATTTGTTGAATTGGGTGACTAGGTTTTCTTTAATACTGTTGTGGTTTACGTGGGCATTTATTCATTTGACACTTAATTCTTTTGAATTCCCCTTTTAGAATAAAAATTCATTCAAATGCTGTTATGTTACATAGAAAGAAGTTAAGCTTTATTTTTTATTGTCGTGATAATAACAATGTATATATAATTATTAATTCGCTTCTTATGAGTTTCACTCAGACAAGCGACTTCTTTGAAAAATTAAATACAAATTAATAAAGTGTCATTTTCATTTTAAATGGTTACAAACCTCAACTACTTTTGAGCACATAAAAGTATAATCAGTACACAATTTCTACTTGGAATTACAAGATGTTTCCAAGACCATACGCCGCTATCAAGAGAAGCATTTTTTCACTAGGTGTTCCAATGAATTTGAATCGTTGTCAGCATTGATGGAAAGACAATACGACGGGTGTCGATAAGGAAGAAGAATACTTACTCTTCGGGATAAACGGGTTTCATTCCATGTTTTAGCTATAGGTTGTACTAACTAGTTTTGCATTTATCTTTCTTGGTACTTGTTTGTTCTTGTGCCAATCCCTATTCTTACTTCCTCTAGTTAATCCGAAAAATTACAATGTTTTTTTGGAAATGTTCGTTTATAGATACATAATCCGATTTACTTTGTATTGTTCTCTTATCTGATATTTAACTTACCTGTTTGGATAGTGTTGTATTTTCCTTAGAGAAATATTGATTATCAATGTCTTTTGTACATTCACATGACTTTGTAATTACATGATTATAAATTGTACTGAATAAAAACTTAATATGAGACATCTGTTAAAAAACCTTTTTCTTAAACTTGTCGCTTATCGCTTACCTAGACATTCATGAAATCATACTGCATTTACACATGTTACATTTTACGTCTTAAATTTATCCAAGCAATGAGATACATCATATTTTAAACTAAATTTCAAAATTAAATATATCCTAAATCTTCAGATACATTGTATTACATTTACCAAAAACAGATTAATGTATCCGTATTTAGTAATTTCTAATGTAACGATATAATTAAAACTGGATATCAAATTGAATTTAAAGTATTTTTTTCGGCGACGTTATGTGTGGTTATGGTGATTTCGCTTCTTATAATGCGAGTGTGTATCCGCCACTTTGTTTTATTCAATCAGCTTTCAGTCATCAATTACACCATGATAGAAAATTTTGTGTATTTATTTATTTATTAGAAATCTATTTTATTAACATATCAAGACCGGGGAATGGATTTACCTAAATTTTTCCTTTTCCCGAAATAAAACAATGGTTTTCACTTTATGAACTGGTTTTATAGGAAATCAAATATTATAAATTACAGTTTCTGGTTGAATTTGGTTCTGTCCCAATTTACATCGAGATGACCGAATTATGAACCCTATATATTTAAAACGTTTTCGTTGGGGATATTAATTGATGTAATATTATAAAAACAGTTGGTAAGTTTAAGCAGTTTTGGAAAGCAGGGGTGTAGGTAAAATTATCTCATCATACTATCAACGTTCTGGAATTTAAAGAAAATCTTCATCCTCCCTACAAATTTAAGCAAAGCATTTTACCTTTAATAACGACTGATGGTTAAACGATGCTAATCATTACCTCCAGAACATTACAGGAATTTTAGGCACTAAATGTATCTTGTTTGTTTTCCTTTTATTCCCTCTTTAACACAAAAGACAGCAACCAAACATGCATGCATGCATGTGATTTTGAATATTTGACTTTATGGTATTTATGGTATTATATATGATCTGTTTTATTAATATAAATATAAAGAGATGTGGTATGATTGCCTATGAGACAAATATACTCCAAAGTTCAAATGAAGTGGATGTACGCAATTATAGGTAACCGTACGGCCTTCGACAATGAGAACAATCCATATCGTATAGTCGGCTATAAAAGACCCCGACATGAAAAATAAGAAACAATTCATTAGAGAAAACTAACGGCCAAATTGATAACAAAACAATTTACGAAAAACAATATGAAAGACATGAACCAACAACAACTGATCTACAGGTTCCAGATTTGAGACAGGCAACTTAGAATGTGACAGGGTTAAACATGTTTAAACCCTTCCCTAACCTGGAACAGTGGTGGAACAGTACAACATAAGAACAAACTATAAAAATTAGTTGAAAAGGGCTTACCTCGTCAGATCGATACAAATCAGAAAAAACATAAAACAAAAACACAGACCAGACGTGTCAGGGAATTCATACATCACCAACAACAAAAAAGACACAAAGTACAGGTCTGAGAGTACTAGCAGTTACTGACAGTTCGTTTAATTACACTGTTGAACTGGTAACCTTTCAGAATCAGTTTATTGAAAGGATTAATAAGTTTACCCGGATCGTATCTAAATATCCAGTCTCGGTAAACAACATCACCGTGAAAATTATGATGTGCTATTCCGTTTAAAATAATTTTTCTACCCGTACAGCTAAACTTGCAAACCAAATCTTTGCATCTATGGAAGAATTCAGTAAAGGTTTAAAGTAATTTTTGGTAACAAAATCCCTGACTTAATAATTTCTAGTAAAATAGATCACGCTTATTGAAACCAAAACCTTCAGTACATACACGTGCATAACGAACGAATTGGGATATATAAACACCGTAAGACAGTGCCACTGGAACATCACCGCCCAAAAAAGAAAAATTAACTTTAGGGGAAATAAATCGTCCGTAAATTTTAGTGTAGAGTTTCTTTTGTAAAACGGATATATCTAAAACTAGGACAGGACAGTTATTAGAGAATAATTTAAAGACAAATATCATCATGATAACGGTAATTGTTGTTGAATTTATCAACTAGATTTATACAGGTCATTACTGAGTTTGGCAATACACTGTGATTCGTAACAATACAAGAACAAGTCTGCTATTAAAAGGAAACACTTGGTGCCCGTTGTAATACCTACAACCTGTCGATAAACTTTATTGCCGAAACGGACATAAATGTTGTCAAGCAGAAAATTGACAGCTTTAATCATCTCATCACCTTCCAGTAAGTATATCTAGCTTATTTATCTTTCTCATTAGAGAAAAAACCTTTATATGAGTTACAGCAAATATATTTGCATTCAGATCTACCAAACGACCATTTAATTAAATAAAGCTGTTTTACACATAACTATGGCTTTGATCTGGCTGTGGCTTTAGATAATAAGATATATTTATATATGATTGTCGAAATTATTTGTGTCTCTCAATTATGAAATCATTGTAATGAATTACTTAGCTCATCATGTGTCCTTTTATTGGAATAAAACTATTTTATCTTATAGCAAGACACAGAGACGGACAGCCAGTTTACACATGTTAGGGGTCTCGCTGAAATTCGGCATAGCCTTTATAGAATGTACTTTGCTCGAAGGTTGTGTTAAAATCGAATGTTAAAAATCTCTGAAAAATCGGAAAAATGTTTTTGGAACAGGTTTTTACATTTTATGGGGATGATATTGATTTTATGGTTGGTTAACGAGGTTCTAAGGACGCGCCAATTTGCCCATTGTGCGAATATCCAGTTTCAAGTTATTTATGACCCTAAAGAAGAATCCATGTCAATAAGATAATTACAACATTAATTTTAATCATTATGTTTTGATTTGTACACTAAACAAGAAATTATTTTTTTTAATTAACATGATTACTCCTGGAAGGAACATACTTGCTTGAAAAAAAGAATAAATTAGTACAAATATGTGTTTTTTTTTCGAAAGAGTTCTGTATCTATTCCCAGTTGGATTTTGTTTAAACATTAAAGGTTACAGAGAGTGTACTATTGGGAAATAAAAATTAATAGGGAACAATCTAGTTCTAAGGTAAAAAAAAACGTGATTCATGTAAACAAGTATGACTAAAGTCATTTCAGACACAATCCCCGGAATAACAATTGACCACTTCGTGACGACGTTCGTAAAACGTTTGTAGTGGTTCTATCGGTTTAGAATGAATATATGTCTGACCGAGGTTAAGGTGGTAGCGATTGTAATACTGTACTGGATTGTAACAAGTACACCCATATTAGATTCAGATTTGTTGCATTCTGATAAAGGGATAGATAATTCACTATGAAGTAGACATTTATACAATGAAAATATAGATTTTTGCAAAGTCTGCGAAATGCTGATATTGCTTTCGCAATTGTAACAATGACATAAATTATTCCCAAGACAACGTTCACGTACATACACATACACGTAAAGGAAGGATACAGTTGATTGAGTTGTTCAACTCTTAATCGATCGAAACGATTGAATACGATTGATACGATCATGACCATTGAAAAACCACATAGAGAAATGGCAAACTCTATACTTCGAAAAAGAAGCACAATAGGTTAACTTTGTGATTGAGTTGATCAACTCTTAATCGATCGTAACGACTGAACACGATTGATACGATCGTGACCCTTAAAATACAAATGATACAGTTGATTGAGTTGATCAACTCTTACTCGATAGTAACGATTGAAAACGATCGATACGATCGTGACCCTTGAAATACAACTGATACAGTTGAGTTGAACAACTCTTATTTGATCGCAACAATTGAACACGTTCGATACGATTGTGACCCTTGAAATACAAAAGATAGAGTTCATTGAGTTGATCAACTTTTAATCGATCGTAATGATTGTATACGATCGATACGATCGTGACCCTTGAAAAAAAAGGATACAGTTGATTGAGTTGATCAACTCTTAATCGATCGATACGATTGAATACGATTGATACGATCATGACCATTGAAAAACAAATGATAGAGTTGATTGAGTTGATGAACTGTTAATTGATCGTTACGATTGAATACGATCGATACGATTATGACCGTTGAATACAAATGATACCGTTGATTGAGTTGGTCAACTTTTAATCGATCGTTACGATTGAATACGATTGATACGATCGTGACCCTTGAAAATGAAAGGATACAGTTGATTGAGTTGATCAACTCTTAATCCATTGAAACGATTGAATACGATTGATACGATCGTGACCATTGAAAAACGAATGATAGAGTTAATTTAATTGATGAATTCTTAATTGATCGTTACGATTGAATACAATTGATACGTTCGTGACCCATGAAAAGGAAAGGATACATATTTGATTGAGTTGATCAACTATTAATCGAACTTTACGATTGTATACGATTGATACGATCGTGACCCTTGAAATACAAATGACAGAGTTGATTGAGTTCATCAACTCTTAATCAATCGTAACGATTGAAAACAATTAAAAAATAAAAAGTTGATTGCATAGATTCACTGAATTGACTACAAATGATTGTAATAAACAGACAACAATTGATTGACCATACAGCAGTAGTCAATTGATTTGAACTGACTATACAATAGATCTATAGTAATTTTTGCAAACTGTCTATTCAATCGATTGTCGAATACTGTACCTGTATCATCTCATGCTCTTAGTTTCAACAGCTTGTAT